GAAATAGTCCATATTTTGGTATTAACATCCAATATGTGACTAGTTTGTAGAATGCAGGATGTTTATTGGTCAGATGGCTAAAGTGAAAGGCTTGAAATTTACTGTGGATGATTAGAGAAGACAAGAAATTATAAATATACAATAGTAGAGAAATAGGACGTAGGAAATAGGAAAACAACTTTATTACTACACTTCACAAAAGCTTAATTTATGTGCCAGTTTTACAGTTTGACCCCAGATCATACAAATTATTGCCTAACGTATGTTTTCTTTTTGTATTTCATGCTTCTGATTTAAAAGTAGACAGAAGAGAACTAACACAAATTAGGGGACAGAGACAGAGAAAGCAACAAGAATTGGCGATGTTGCAGTGCTGTGGTGCATCGTAAGCTTTTGAGCCACCAGCATGCAGCGTTACTCTTCTATCTAATTTAGGTGTATCTTTGTGTGAATAAAGAAGCAACAAAGACAAAATACAACTCCCCGTCAGTAGGGTATTTAGGAAATTTGCTTCCTACCATCGACCATAACTACTTCACACCAAAATCTTGTCTGTTGAAAAAAAAAAAAATCACAGAACTAAGAAGCTTAACACTGATATATTTAAATTTCTTTAATTTGTTCTGTCTTAACGTCCTTATCAATTTACGCACCACACCAACATGCACGCACACAAAGGCAAAGACACGTATTAATGCACATAATAATGAAACTGATCTTTCTTTGTGTCTATGTTATGTTTTTTCTCTGGGAGTAGAGATTCCAGTTGCACCTCCTACAACCCCATCAAGCAGTACAGAGGAGCCATCAGGTGAGTACAGCTGAGAGTCAAACATTTATTGCATTTTTTCTCATGTTTATCTGTTTCTACACATCCACATGAGATAAAATAAAGATGAGGAGAATATTGTGGCAGCATAAATGGATGTGGGATTTTTCAAACAGTTCCATGCTTTGCCACAATATTTTTCCACAAGTGTAAAAAAAAAAACAGACTGCTGGATAAATTGGATCCCTCATGCCTTTCCCCTCCTTATTAGGGGTTCATGAATATTAAATCCATTAGCAGCAACCGTGGGATGTGCCTCCTTTAATCTCTCACACTTTCACAATTAATAAGTCTAACTGCGGCACAGTGGGGTGTTGGTCCAGCATACAGCACGGGGGCCTGGCAGTTTGTTTGATTAGATTTTTTCATCTCTCCAAACTCCCTCTTTCCCAGTCTGATGCCGTATAGTGAGGGAAGGACTGATTGAGGAACTGGATCCTGTAATTTAGTGCAGGATTCAATAGTATTTTACCAAATGATTCGTGTTGGAAATTATAGTGTAACATTGCAGAGTTTGCTGTATTTTTAAGGACGGGATATGACATCCAGATAAGTTGTGGTACATCAAATGTGATAGTTCACTTCTGATCTGTTCGGACTGATTCATGCAGTATGACCACTTAGAGATTCTAGACTTGTGAGCTTATTTATTTATGTAATTTGTAGTTAAATGCCAGTGGTTTTTGTAGCAATTTTCATTTGAATCATATTATTAAAATACAGTTGCACAGTCCATGGCATAAATTCTACAAATGTGCAACACAAAAACTTGCATTGTACACTTAATAAACATACAGTACCTGTACAAATCCTGTAGGACTAAGTTCTTCATTTTGTCTTTCGGCCTCATGCTGGAAAGAATTGAGTCATCTGGCATTGCATGTTTGCTCTGTCTCTCCCATGAAGTTTGCAGGAGGCCCAACCTATATGTGTATGTGAGTGTGTGTAAGAGGCTCCTGCAGCTGTTGTCGGGCCCTCTGAGGTCCCAAACGTTCCCTGGACAGCTTCAATTGACAGCACAGTCAGGATACAGCCAGTCCCCAACCCTCCTCCACCTCTTTTCTTTTCTCTTTCAGTCTTTTTTCGCTCTCCTCCACTTCCTTCGTCTCCCTCTGTTTCACGCTTTGTCTTCGCATAACACTGTGGGTGGTGCTGAGCTAGAATATCTGGAGTTTCTCTGGGCCCCTTTGTCAGGAATCTGTCCACTTTTGGGGTTCAGGAAATTTTCCTCACCTCATTGAGGGATTACTGGATAAATAAGAGAAGGACCTGTATTACTTTATCAACTTGAATAAATGCAAAGCGGATCCTCATATTTATTACTTTTCCGTTTTTAGGATTTCAACATTTAAACAAAAAAATGCTTTTGGACATTTGTGTTTGTGTGAAAAACAAATACCCGTACCTTTTCTCCCCAATTCACTGTTGTTATGTGAAATCTTTTGCTGTAGCTACATCCTGGTTTAAGGCAAATAATCCCATTGATTAAACCGTGTCATTGAACTAATGTAAACACAACCTGAAGGAGACTGTGGAATGACTCTGACGGCGTAGCTATACCCCTAATCTAATCACAACAGAGAGTTCTGGGAATTCCCTCTTGTATGTATAATGGGCACGAGACTGTTCAGCCCAGAGAGGTTGAAATCAAGCAGATTGCAAGGTGGAGCACCTTGATGGACGTCCTGCGTAGGCCATGTCAGAATCGTGAGTAGCCCCGGGTCCCACTGGACCACCCGGGCTTGAGGCCCAGAGGATGCATACATTACCCTCTGAGCCTCCTCAGAAAGCTGCAGAGCAAATGCACCTCTTGCTCGGCAGCTCTGATATCACCTAATATGTGATTGCAAACAGATGTGGTGATTTTATCAGAGCATCAAACTATATTTTCCACCCTACTAAAAATACCTGCACTAGATTAAATATTGATATTATACATTCTTTAAAAATACTGTTATTATTATTATTATTAGTAGTAGTAGTAGTATTAGGAGGAGGAGGAGGAGAAAAGAATACGGGGAAGTTGAAAACGAAAAGGATGTGAAGGAAAAACAACAAATGGAGGATGGAGGAAAAATAAAAAACAGAGGAAAAGAGAAAGAAGAGTGAGGGGGAAAGAAAACAGTATGAAGAGGGGGAAGGGGAAGAGAATGCTGAAGAAATAAGGAAGAATTTAAGGATTAATTAAGACATTTTCACTTAGAAACAAATGTGAAAAAGGAAAAACACACTTATGTTGTGTGTGTGATACCAGGGGGTGTTGGGCTGACAGCTGTGAGGCAGGTGCCTTGTTGCGCCTCAGTTGAACGAAAGGGGTAGGGGGGGGTGAATTGAGGGCGTGAGGGAAAATGGAGTGGATATTAATTTGTCTCCTGCAGCAGGGCTCTCCCCCTCTCGACCACACGGAGGGCTGGAATGCATGGAGAATACCTCCGATGGTGTGGCCCAGACAAAACACACATTGTGCTGGTAGGTCACGGATGGTGTGAGTCGCCACTCCCACGGGTCGTGACAGAGACGTCTGCGCAGCAACGAAATGTGGAGGAGATTAACCGCTGATGACCTGTGATGGCCGCCCGGGCCTGTCAGGATACACAGGATGTGAAAGTAACTAATGATGATGAGGAGAAGGAGAATTGGAGTGACGATGATGAGGGTAGCGAGGTTCAGTCTAGTGGACCCCTCCCTAGATTTTTTGGACATGAGTCTTACTTAACACACCCTGTTTGGTACTTGCCGACTCCACCGCACTTTACAGTCATATCAACATTGGATCTTATTACGCCACTTAATTGTATGAGAGAATGAGAGGAAAAATAATTGTAAAAGACATTTTGAAGTTTCACATCCTCATTATCAATATAAAACCTATACAATTTACTTTTTGGTTCCCAAAACCATTTTTAATGACATGAAAACCTTGGCAGGGTTACTTCCTCTCTCTGTGTCTATATTTTGGGTGATAACCAACAGGAGTCCCTGCTGACTCATCTGTCGTCAGTTACAGTAAAAGAGGATGATCCAACTCATCAAAACTGATTGCACGCCACCCAAAAAGTAAAGTCTCAAATCAGGTCAATAACTCTAATAGCCTCGTCACAGGCCGAAAAACACAACACCTTTTACACTCTGGCAATACATTGAGAAAAGAAGTGGGGGACTCCTTCTCTCTCTTTTCTCCTTTCTCTCTCTGTCTTTGCTGGATAGGATCCAAACTCACAGCTCTGGTGCAAGCAGCTCAGCGCAGAGCAGGACAGCACACTGGGCTCCATAATCTAATTACATGCTTTATTTGCCGCAATTTGTTTCTCAATCAGTCTGGTTGAGGGTGAAAGCCCTCCTCCTAGGCCATCATTTACACCTCCTTGTCTTGCTGCTCTGGTACCTCTGATGCTACTGTGGCCATATCTAGATATATCCAGAGTGTGTCTAGATCTAGTTGAGATAGCCTGCTGTTCACGGCTGGCTTTTCCTTGAGAACACTTGTGATTAGATTTCACATGCGTGGGTACATTTGATTTTATCTGTGTGGAAACTTTGAGAGCTGCTGAACAGAAACAACAAAATACATGTAGTAGCCAGCTGTAGCACTACAAAAGTGGTGGTGGTTATTTTGAAATTTTTTGTAATAGTCAAATCAACTGTAATAAAGAGAAAAAGAAGCTCTGGATGTGGACCAAACGATCTGATCCCAGAGTGTCCTCAATATAGTTCAGCCACATATATCTTGAAATTGCATCCATCCATCCACTGCATTGCTGGACTGGTTTCATCCAAATAATTGAGGGGACTGCTTTTTTTCCTGCAGTGCTGAAGTTGATCAAATTGTGGCTTAAACCAGTGTTTCTTGACTGGTCTCACCTCGGAACCCACATTTCCCAATGGTCATTATAGCATGACCCACTTTTATAGAATATAGATAGTAAACACACATATACAATCTTTTACAATTACAATTTTTCTATATCATCTTTTTTTAAATTAAATATACACTTACTTTCATCTGAGACCAATTCAGAATGAGTCTGAGAAAACATGGCTAAAAGGACTGGTGTGGACAGGACAGGATTAAGTTGCATCTAGCAGTGAAGTTGCTACTTCCAAGCATGTAGGAGAAACTCAAAATGTGAAAAGCCCTATCTAGACCCAGTGTTTGGTTCATCCTTTCTGATACTGTAAAAACATGGTGGTTCAACATGGCAGACTCCGTAGAAAGGTTTTTCTTATTGGTGATGATACACCAATGAAAACCTACCTATGAATATTATATTCAATTTCTGCCAATAGATCCTCCTAAATGTCACACACCTTCAAGGAAACAGTGACCCTGAAACCCCTTTATGTCATTTTGTAATCTTGTAGGAAGAACTGAACCTGAGCGTTAGATTTTGCAGTGTATACAGATTTCTTGGCTGAATGTTTGCACACCACTCCTGTTGCATAGTTGTCTTCAGTTATGTAAAATAATGTTTGCTTCATATGTCTTGCAGAAATGTGTCTTTTTCAAACGTTTAAAACTAATTTTTTTCTGGTTTGGTGGATTGGATCAGTATGCAATCGTCTTCTAGATTCTAGAGAGATGTTGGGGAAATTTATTTTAAACAGTCTTCTTTTCAGGCACATTCACTTTGTCTTGAGTTTTGATAATAAAAACTTTTTTATTTTCCTTTTTTTTACGCCCTCAATGATCTGGAGGGTCAGTGAACAAAGCTACAGTGGGCATACACCAGCTTGTACAGGGCATTGTCTACCATAATTTTCATATTTTGGGCATGTTTTATTATTTACTGTCCTACCCAGCTACTGAACCCAATCCAGACATTCGCTTGCGTCTATGGGCTCAAATAGAACCGTACTGTACTGTATTCTGTCTTGAAGCAGCTTTAGTAAGAAGCATCCCAAATGAAAACGATTAGCTTAAAGGGTTGTAGAGCACTTTAATAGAAGGGGCAAAGGTCCACCTCTCAGTTACGCACTTCTCAGTGCTCTGAAAGGCAGGAAACAAAGCGCTGTAGTAACTACATCTACTCAGAACACCCAAAGCACATTTTAGCTCAGTGCTACAGGACTGCTCCCACTTCCCCTGCTTGTAACGCGCGCACAAAGAGAACATTTGTCCTCACGGTAGGGGACTGCCTGGCCCTAAATGGGGATCTCGGGGTGCTCTCAGCGGGGCCCGGGGCTGTGTCTCAGGGGTACACTAATGGGGAACGAAAGGCTATCAAAGGGAAGTATCATGATGGCATCAAGGGGGGTTATGAGAAAACAAAGCATCCTTTCCACAGCTCCCCCTTCGATCATTTACATGGTAATCAGGTGCAGCTCATATAGACTCCTCTGTTTCTTTTACTTTGCCTATTTTTGTTGCTCTCTCTATTTACTACCACCAGCTCCAGCTTTGTGGCCTTTCCGCCCAGCTTGTGAGGCTACCAGCTTTGGGTTTGTAGCTGATTTGGGGTTTCACTTAAAATCCTGGTCCTCCTCTTCTTCTTCCCACCCCCCTGATAAACTTCACTCCTGTTTTCTTCTTTTTTTTGTCAACCTCTCCACCCCTTCGCTTTCTACCAGTATGCATTCTCCTGCCTCCTTCCCTGCATTTTTTCTTGTCGTGGTGTTCCCCAGGCAACCTCATTCAAACAGAGTATAAAGGAGAGTAAAGGCATGGAGCAAAGATCTGGTCACAACAATGAAGTTTGTTCATATTCAGGCGGCCTGAAAGCTCCAATCCTTCTTCAACCACCCCATCATTCTCCTCCACTACTACTTGCTGTCCATCCATCTCTTGCTCTCTCATTCCTTCTCTCTTTTCTTTTACTATACTCATTACAACTTGCAGCAGTGAAGTGTAAACCAAATCAGTACTCTGGATTCAATTTATGCCAGTTGAGAGAGTGCTAAAGGAACAGAAAAAAGGCATGTTTTTTTTTTTTTTTTTTGATGATATGGCTTCACATCGTGTTATGCTGGCCGGCACTGTAAGTGTCTGGCAGCGTGACAGCATAGCATGGGGCAATCACTGAAGCTATGTATTCTGTGGATTGCTGGGGCCAGTAAAGGGAAGGGAGGGATATACTGTTGCCTCCTTCACCTCCTGGTAATCTATCATAAAACTGACATATGCATATGCATATCGTTTTGGATCTTTCTGGACAAGGAGCAGGAGTATATATAATCTGAAATGCATTTGTCGTCAGCCCTCAACAAAAAATAACAGTTTACTTCCAATAATTAAAAACATGTGGCGATACGGTACAGTATGATTGTGTTAGAGAAATATGTTTCACACTATGTATTTGATATGTTCAATACAGAGCTGTCTTTGACTTCAACACACAACTGTAGTCATACAGAATAAAACATCTTTTCTCCATTTGGACATTTCAAATGTTCTCATATCTCCACAGATGCAATATAGAAACTTTAATAAAAGCTCTGTATGATTTTGTGCACAGAAGATGTCTCAAACAATCTCTAGCAAATACAAAATGTTATTTTTTGAGGTTGTTATCTGGATGATAAATCAAGCTGAAATCACCTTTAAGTACTCACTCATCTACCTCAAGGAGCATGTACATACATACATGAGTATGTGTGTGTGAGCTTGTGAGATTTGGGTGACCCCTCTGCCTGCGTGAGGTATTTATTTGGAGAGTGGACCCCCCCCCATCCACCCACCCAAAAGGGTCCTCTGCCTAACGCTTCATGGATGGCTAATTCTCCCTTCCTGACCTCCCTTTGTGTGGCATTGACCCCCTTCACACCCCCCACCTTCCACTCCCTCAAATAGCTGCCAGCCCTCAGCGCACTCCCCCCCCTCCCCCCCACCGTCCACACTGCTATAAATGCAAAAGCTTGACATGGTCCTCGGTGGGGCCTTGAAGTGATCCCAGGGTTATTTTTTTCAAGAGGTCGGAGGCTGAGGTGACAAGCGAGGTGAGATTTGGAGGTGGGGGTTGAAGTGGGGTGGTCTGCATAGGCCTGACTCATTCCCACAGTCTGACAGGCAGTGAGTGGGTAGGCAGTGGTCATCTGTATTTCTCCTAAAGCGCTGCTGGTGCAGCTTGTTAAAACATTTGTTTAAATGTAGGCCCAAAAGAGGAAAAAATTTCATGCGCATTAATATTGTGAAAAAGCTTAGTTCATTATGGATTAGTCAGTAATTTAACTCCCACCTCATCTTCAATTTTACAACCACCTTTAGACATGCAAAACAAAAATTTAAAATAAAATACATTTACCAAATATAACATGAATTAAACTTCCTTAATATTGAAAGGGATTTTTACCTGATGCTTTTTTGTTTGTTTTTTGTTAGAGGGCATGAGGATGATTCCATCCATTCATGGATAATAATAATAATATTAATTATTATTATTAATATTATTTCACACTGACTGACTACAGATGAAAATTAGCCTTTTGGCTAATTCAGTATTTATTCATATCCACTGTACACAGTTTCATGCTCAAATAAAAACTCATTCTCATAAATCACCTGAGCTGCTTTATTTTTATTTAATTTAATGAATTGTAATTTAATGAATTGTAATTTAATGAATTGTAATTTAATTTTCTTCTTCACTCACCAGCCGAAGCAGAAGAGAGCAAAGTATAGTCCCAGTAAAGTGGCCACCACGTGTCTGATGAAGGGACTGGTTTTACTGGGATGAAGGAAGAGACGAAACCAGAAGGCCGACAGCAAAGCACAGAGCTGACACACCACAAAGTTCACCTGCAGACAGAACAGAGGGAGAAATCACACCTGAGGGTCCCCACAGTGCTGCAGGTACTCATGTGACCTGTAGTGTAAGCAGTAAAGTTATCAGTGATGCTGGTCATTCAGTGTCAGCAGGTTCCTTACACAGTACAGTCCTATATATATATACAGTATACATATA